AACCATGTCATTTGGTACAATGACTCTGTGTATTTCTTCCATCTTATTTTGATGCTTTCTGAATCATTCAATAATTTGCCCAGAGAATCCTTCAAAACAGAAATCGAGGCTTAATTTTTTTCTTCAGTTCCCCTAGCTTGAGAAATGCTGAGCATGTTCTTCCTTTTTGGTTTTCTGACTCCAGATTTTTGCACATTTTGTTGTAATATTTGACTCTTATCTTCTCAAACTGACCTTTGGAATTTTCTGTTCAGCTCTTGTACCTCCTCAGTTCTTCCATTTGCTGGAGAACAAGTTTCAGTGTCTCTTCTGACATCCATTTTGACCTTTTCCTTCTTTAGTGTTTCTCTAAATGTGTTCCAACTACAGATAGTGACTTCTTAACTATTTATTCCTTATCTAGGCATTTTATTGTGAACTGAGTATCCAATAATTAAATGAGCAGCATTTTAAAAATTACATTGTGCTAGTGAAGCTAACCACTTGTCAAAGACAACCCAGGAAAACAGAGCTTTCAGTTAGTCTTAGTGTCTAGTCCTATACGACAGATTGCTAAGACTAGTCAGAAGTAGAGGTGAATGAAAAACTAAAATTAAAACACAGCAACAACAAAAATCTTCGTGTTAACAGAGTAGGAAACAAACTATATATGTGCCCATATATATAATCAGAAAGAAGATATTATATCCTGGAACAACTAAGGTCTTTTCAAAGCAGAATATAAATTATAGTCTTATAAATTGAAACATAAGAAAATGTATTTTAAAATCAGTAGAAGGCAATAAAGGCACAAAGTAACTGGCTTACAAGTTTTCAAGAGGGAGTTGAGTTTAAGAGTGTGCAGGGGGACGGTAGAGTCCCCACTGAATAGTTTTTATCTTGTCTAGACAGGTCTGGTAAAGAGAGATGGGGGTTAAGATTTTTATGATTCAATAGTAATTGTTATCTTGACTAATTACGACTTTCACAAATGTAAACGTAGAAGTTTTGTAACAAAAATGGGGGAGGAGTTAATCTTACAGTCCAGAAACAGGGGACCCTTGGACCATCAAGGGAGAAGAGCACAAGCAGAATGTGGGACCCTATCCAGAGAAGCAGCAACACCATAAATGGAGGCAGAGATGAGGACATGGAGCGAGGAAGCAGCTGAGGACTCTGGGCTCAAGGAAAGAGAGGGACTAGGTGCTGGCAGCTAGAAGGCAGGCTTGTAGAATGTGCCCTTTGGTTGCTTAAATGATTATATATTACCGAGTGTTTTTGTGTACAATCCCCCTCTCAAAAAAAAAACAGAGGGGATGGAAGCAAATACTGTTAAACGATGATGAACGGAGGAAATTGTAAGCACTGCAATGAAATGATGGTGTAAAGCCGATGTTCTCCCATGTAAACTATCACTCAGCTCACAATAAAAACATAAAAAAAAAAGAAAAAATAGAAAGAAGATAATGTTGGAAGATAAAATTAAAGAAATAGTCTACAAAGAAAAGAGACAATAACCACCTGAACAACTTCAGAGAGAAGAAAATCAAGCACCTATCTATGAGGGCCATCATCTGACTGACACAGATGCAACAATGGGAGCTAGAAGAGAATAGAGCAATGACTTTGAAATTATGAGGAAAACGATTTTTAATTTAAACTTCAATGTGTAATCAAATTATCACTGAATAAAAGGTACGATAAAGATACTTTAAATATGCAAAGTCTCAGAAAATATTTCTCGCATTACCACTTCTTAGGAAACTCGTTTTAGGTTGTACTCCAATAAACAAGAGAATAAATTAAAAAAAAAAAAAAACACAGTAAATCCATAACAGGAAGATGAGACAATATGAAGTCATGCCACAGGATAAAAATTATAGTGGGCCAAAAGAAGCACCAGTACAGACATAAAAGACAGATATCTGTAATAAAAACAGAATCAAACTACCTGATATTTAATGGCAAATCCTTCAGAACTATGGACACTATCAGGTAGACCTGATAAAGAAATTGGAGAAATTTTAAGGTAGACTTACAGAAAGTTATATAAGTGTTAAAAATGAGATCGTTATTAATTCCAGGAAAAATGATACAAAAGGAAAGAAGGTAACCATGGTCTAATTTGATTTTAGACACAATATTTATTTTGAAATTTTAAATGACATTAAAGGAAGTATAATTTTTTTGTTAACTGAATGGGACAAGGATTAAAAGATAGTTCTAAATCCTTTATTAGATCTAAACTCTGCAACAGACACTTATGCATCAAAGTTTTTCTGTAACAGGTACAGTAATTGCATTCCTTTATCCTCCATTCACCCATCCAAATAGGATGTTCACAAAGAACAATACAACCAACACTGTAACATGCAAAAATTGTAAGGCTGTGTTTTCCATAAAGGAGAACGTAGCAAGTTAACCAACATTCATTATTCCTCACTTCTCAGCTGCTTCTCTTTCCTAGTCAGGCTTTGCATTTCATGTGTGCTCCATTTCATCATCCTCATCTCTATAACAACTTTTTATTTTCTACTTGATAGATATTTTCATTTGATCTAGTATCAATCTTAGGCTGTCTGTAACTCACATGACAAGACAAGCTGATCAATTCTTGGCAAAGAAAGATATTTCTCAGTAAATACATAGATCTTGTGGGTAAGCTATGAGAGTGGCTAATAAGTACAAATATGGGTATTAACAGCTGTTGTTGTTGTTAAGTGCCGTCGAGTTGGTTCTGACTCACAGCAACTCTATGAGGAGTGGCTGGTGAGTTTCAACTGCTGACCTTGCAGTTCAAACAGACCTGAGGTTGAGTGCTTATCTTCCAGCACCACACCAGGACTTCAACTTATTATGAATGACACTTAATGAAATCTAGGCATGGAAATTTAAACCCAGGAATCATTGACCATGGGTTAAAATTTAGTGCCAAATATTAGAAACATTAGAATTCTATTACTTTTTAGCAAGACACTTGAACATGGCAAATTTTGTTTTCATTTTTATTAATACAGAACATATTAACAGAAATTTTTCTTTTAAAATAATCAAAGTTACAAATAAACACTGACACTAACTGATAAATAATATTCCACTTGACTCTCCTCTTGAAAAAGTCCTCATCTATTTGGTAGTACAGTTATTTTTATCAATCGATCTCTAAACTACCTTATAATCTCAGTGAAATTTATTAGCTTTTACTTACTGCATAATTTCTTCAATTGGGAAACTTTTCATATGTCAAATTACTTTCACATAAATTAATATGCATTACATATTAATGCATCCTTCAATGCTAAGTATATTTAAATGTAATTTAATTTTTCAAAGTTAAAATGTTTCCAAGAGATAGCACAAAGCCTTTAGAAATGTCTTCCTCCCCCCTCATGCTTCACAGAGGCCATAAGAATGTTCCATTTTCTTTATATTTAGGCAACAGGCATCCCTTGAAGTTCAAATAGCAGGGGACAGGGAGGAGCTTAGGCTATCAATGTATTTGTAATATAGACAAAACTCCACAAATATATTTTAAAATTTCTTTTCACCACAAATGAGAAAGTGTTGGGAAGGCTCTTCAATTTCACTTAGCAGCACCCTTGGCCACCTATTAGAAAAACATATGCAGGATGGCAGTCTTCCTTAAACTGCACAAATTCAATCTGGAAAGGCTGGAAGAACACCCTTGCCCCAATAATATATCCCATAAAATAAATGGCCATGCACAAGAGTAACAATTTTCAGAATAAATAACTGACTGACAAAATAATATTTTTAGACAAAGACTACCCTAGGTACCCAGAAACTTCTGGATAATCACACATCAAAGACCTCATGCAAGTAAAAGTCTTACCACTTAAAAATCTTTATGAACTACAAGTTCTTTTAAGTGAAGTTTGTATTTTATACAAAACTTAAGAAGTGTGGCACATTTTTAATTAACCATTACATTGTTTTTTGTTGTTATTGTTTAAAAAGCATATATTAATCAAAATGGATACATTACCAGACCTTTTGATTTAAAATACAACTGAGTGAAAGCACTACAAATTCTGAATAAACAAGAATTCTTCTATACAAACATATGCGTTGAGTAAAGAAAATGAATTTCAATACAATTAATCACCTCTGATTGAACCATACGTTTTCATTCATGTGAAAATATAAACTTACATTTACTTTAAGATTCATAGCAAACTAATTACAGCATTTATTCAATAAGAAATATTAAAATAATTCAAGTTGGTAGAAAATAAAATTACTTCAACCATATATATTATAATTTGTCATATACATACTCCTAAGTCCCCAGAATTTAACTATGAAAAGTTAAAGAATTTCTTTTTAAAGTATGTCTTAGGATAACCAACCAAAGTAATTATTATCTTAATGAAAAAGAAATGCATACACATCCATATTTGACTTATACATAAAAATTGAATAAAATAGAGAAAAATTAGGTAACTTCTGAAAATGTTCTGGAATATTATATGTTAGTACTTAAGTCAAAATATTTACCTGGTAAAACTAAAATAGCTTGAGGTATTTCCAATGCTAAAGTAAATTTCTAAATGTTAAAATACCACAAGAATGAAAACAGTCTCCTTTGAGAATTTACATCTGGTTTATAATTGAAACAGAAGATGAAGGTCTGCCATGCAGTTTCCCATCTCACCTATATTCTTTCTTCCCTTACAAAAGTATAAGCTTCAAGGGAAATGATCACATGTAAAAACATTTCAAGTGAATTGGAGTTCCTTATTATAACAACTTAATCAAAAGAAAAGAGAAATTTTTTATTCTCCTACCTGAGACCTACCTGAACTCTTTAGACATAACCATTAATTTCTATGCTAGACACAGTAAACATGTTTTCCTTTGTTTTTGTTTTTTAAATCAAAGCTAAGCTTGACAAAGAACTCTACTGGATACACTGAATACATGAACCACCTCAACAAAGATGGTACTTTAAGCCTTTACACACGACACATGAAAATGAAGTGTTTTATTTAGATTGGTCTTTCTTCATCTTCCTGTAACTGAGTCCTGAAAGGACAAGTCATTATACTCATACATTTTGTAATACCTTTCTTCATACAATAGGCTCACATATATAGCATCACATGTCTATATAATATTATCAAAGAGCATAAACATTTAAGCAGTAGACGCATTTCACATGAAAGGGGCTCTATGCATCATATGGCCTGTCCCAATAAAAAGCAAGAATTAGAATGCCATTTCAGCTGTTACAGTGTTGATATTATCAATATAGCTATTTACTTTATATCCATCATATTTTCAAGAGTCATTTTCATAAGGAAGAAGCACAGGAAGATTGTTTTTTTAAAAAGTTATGTGCCAACTTCAAAAGTGACATACTAACCGAACATTAGCATTCAGAAGCTAGGTTGAATAGGACTGGCCTTGATGCACATGCAGTAGATTTCTTTTCAGAATATAAAATTATATGGTAATGTCAGCAGTATTACTACTGTTTCTATATTTATGATTAATTACTAGCAGTACAACTCCCAGAAGGAACGAGATGGATCCAATAGCGATGTAAGCAATCCCCAAAAATGGATTTTTTCCTCCCATCCATGAAATAGTGCTCAAGATCATCCGTTTGCGTCCATCAAAAGAATGTACCGGGTAATCTGCAGAGTGTATAGGAAGACTTTCCATTTCTAGTTGCTTAATTTTTAAAATATAATTTATAAGTTGGCATTTAATTGCTTAATTCTTTTGTACAATAGCACAGTGGTTACGAATCGGGCTGCGAACCTTAAGGTCAGCGGTTTGAAACTACCAGCCGCTCTGCGGGAGAAAGATGAGGCTTTCTACTCCCGTAAAGATTTACACCCTCGGAAACCCTGTACAGGGTCGCTATGGGTCGGACCCGACTCGATGGCACTTAACAACAGCAACAACAATGATACATAGGCACCCTACCCATATGTTCTGAATCACAAAAACTGTATTATCTAGAGAGAGTGATTTAGCAAATTTAGTCAGTAGTCCTGGTGTGGTGCTGCAGTTAAGCACTGCACTGCTAACCACAAGGTTAGTAGTTCAAACCCAGCAGCTGCTCCTTGTAAACCCTATTTATATGAGTAGGAACTGACTCCACGGCACTTAACAACAGAACCTGATGGAGCAGTGGTTAAAGCACTTGGCTGCTAACCGAAAGGTCAGTGGTTTGAACCCTCCAGTCACTCTACAGGAGAAAGATGTGACAGTCTGTTTCTATAAAGATTACAAACTTAAAAACTCTACTGGGCAATTCTACTCTGTTCTATATGGTTGCTGAGTTGGAACTGATTCAAAAGCAGTGGTTTTTAGTACTTAATACTCTGAGAGACAGTATCAAATCACTCAGACTAGTTTATTTCTCTGTATTCCAACCCTAAAAAAGTTTGGTTTCTGCCTTGTTTTCAATACCCAATTTCCGCCTTATACTCACTTTTGCTAATTAAAGTCTTGATGTTTTGCAGTCCCAAACTCCTGTCTTGTCAATCTGCTCCATACCCTCCATTCCTCCTGACAGCTTTGCTTTCATTTCAGTACCTAGGTTCCTGCTATAGACGTCATAGCTATAATGTGTCTGTTTTTTTTTTTTTTTCATACAGCTAAGAACTCCCAGGTTGCTCCATAGACTTTCCTGTATTGTTGTCTGGGTTACAGGCTAGTATACGCCCTTTCTCTTTCCCAGATCTTTTAGATGCTGTGACAGAACTGCCCTGTGTTTTGGCTATATACCTAGGATATACGTTCTTTCTATCAGTACTAAGCTGGGTCTGTCTGTCCAAAACAGCTCCTATGTGGGCCTAGTTTCAAAAACTTGGTCTCTTTCAGTTTGCCACTATTAGGCCATAGTCAGCTGTGTTCTAAGGTGCAATATTAAGAGACGAGGATCTAAAAAAACCCACTTTGAATCTGGATCAGTAATTGTGCCATTTATTAATCCATTTTAAAGCCAAAACTATACTTGTAGCTAATCTATTTTAACAAAATCAAAAGCAAAAAGATGATTAGCAAACATTTAAAATGCTAATACTCAGGAATTTTTTCACTACTGATATTTATAAACTATGGGCTGGCAATTATAAGATGTAAGGGACTGTTTTAAGATGAAAAGGAAATGCTCTATTTTTCCCTCCTAGAGAAGCCATGGCATGCAATCACATATGACTGGTCATTCAGAGTGAACTAGTTAAGGATGCAGCCTATGGTGGTGTCTAATGGTAAAATCATGGCTTTTGCAGTTGAACCTCAATGTTTCCTCTATTGTCTGTGCAGTCTTAGGTAAATTTACCTCTGTTCCTGTCTTCTTATCTGTTACTATGAGATAAACTTACCTCATACTGCTACTGCTTGAATTAAAAAAATAATGCATGAAAAGTACTTAGCACAGTGTTAGTGTATAATCAGAACAGAATAAATTTTATTTATTAGCTTAAAAAAAAAGTATACAAAAAAAATTATTAATGTAGAACAATACAGCTAATGATAAAAATGTTTTGATACTTTCGGTAGAGCAATACCTACTCTATGAATTATATTGATGTAAATAACACTGATTTTCAGTATTCAAAATTTTTTATTTAACCAGCTCAGTACTGCCAGCATTTATTTGACATTAGGTAAAATGTTGGACTCTGAATTAAGTTCAATTAAAATTTTCCTTGTAAAAAGAGATCTGTTGCTGTTAGGTGCTGTAGAGTCGGTTCCAACTCTTAGTGATCCTGTCAAGGGGTTCCAAAGAGCAGCTGGTGGGTCTGAACCACTGAACTAGTGATTCAAACTGACCTTGCAGTTCAGTGCTTTATCCTACAGCAACATCTATATTTTAAGTAACTTTTTACTAAACAATATGTTTCAAGCCCTAGAACACAGCATATAAAAATTGAAGACTTTTTGGGAAATATAAACTAAAAGGTATAAAATTTAAAATATATCTATTTATATATACACATATAAGCATATGAAAACGAAGAAGTCAAAAAACTAAAGCACAAAGTACCATTTCATATAATTAAGGTTGAAATATATTTTCTTCAAGTTCTATGAAAACATGTATACGCAGCCCAAAAAAGGATACTGTATGTGATATTCAAATAGTATCGTCCAGCTGGTAAAGTTGGATGTAAATCATTTTTCCGCTCTATAAGACGATATAACTTACGAAATGTAGGTAATGCTGCAGTACGCATCCAAACAATAAAATCCTCATTTATAAACCCATTATTATCTGGGTCAGAATCCAGCATGTATACTGGCTTAAGCCAGTTTATTGGTTTTGCTGTACCTTTAAAAAAAAAAAAAGGGGGGGGGAAGTTTGTGGTGAGAACAAAATATTCAGTTCTATGAAGGATCTCATGAAAAGTCTGTACTAAAATAAAGGTATGCAACACACAATATTTTTCTTACTTTCAAATGTATAAATATATTCATTTCTAAGAACATCTTAAAATCTAGATAGAAACTAATTCTTCACGTAACAATTTAACAAAAAATTACAAATGGTTGACAATACCTCAAGAGAATACTAGAAATAGGATATTGGGTATACACAAAAGGCAGACTATATAATACAAAGATATAATGGTAATAAGCATTACATTATGAAAATAAGATAGCACACATTAGGAAAAATTTTAATTGAATAATAAGTAACATCAAAACTAGAAACAAATCATGATTTGTTTAAAATAAGCTATACCATGGAGTCCTGGTGTGGCATTGTGGGTTAATACGCCAGACTGCAAACCTGTTTGAACTGTAAGGTCGGCAGTTCAGGCTCACCAATAACTCTTTGGAAACCCTTTACAGGGTCGCTATGGGTTGGAAGCGACGTGAGGGCACTTGACAACAACAACAACATACCATAGTTTTAAAAGACAATGGCTGAAAAATATGCATAAGAAACACCAGATAAACTCATAAACTCATTCCGGGTTACAAATATTATTTCCTTTAGAATTTTAGTGTGGTAAGCATTAGACTGCTAAAGCCGCAAGGTTAGGAGTTCAAACCCACCAGCCACTCCGTGCAAACACTACACAGGGTCACTATGAGTCGGGACTGACTTGATGGCACTTAACAACAACAACATTTTACTAACTTGGTATGAAAGTGTGAAAAGTAAGCTTGTTTTTAAAATATTCTTAAGATTTAAAAAAATTAAGATACATCATTAAAACTCCTAACTTATGTTCTTAAAAGTTTCTGTTTCTTAGATACTTGTGGTGTTTTACCTTTAAATCGTTCTTCTAGACTTTCATCACTTCCAGATGGATTTCTGAATTTCACATTTTTATCTGTCCACCAAGCAATACCTTTCTTTTTTAAAGTAATAGGTGTAGGATCAGATTCATTGCCAATCAGAAATAATTCTAATGTATCTAAACACAAGAACAGAAAAATACTGCTTATTATCTACTGAAAATCTGTTAACACTTGCTTTACTCTACAAGACATGAGAAAGAATCTGGTATTAGCTCCCAAAAGTATTTGTGTCATAACAGGCATACTTTGTTTTGGTTATTCAAGTCTGAATTAACTATAACAACAATTAGCAAGGTAAATCAGTTTCTCCTATGACCCAAGTAATACAGTCATAAATAGCTTTAGTGTATCTGTTTCTGTTTGCATTAATACAGTAGTCACTAGCCATATATGGCTACTGAACAGTTGAAATGTGTCTGTACCAAATAAATATAAGAGGGTTTCAAAAAGTTTAGAACTTTTTAGGAAACCCACAGACCGTGAAAAATTTTTTGGCAATGACTTAGAAGACAAGGGGCTACTGTCAAAAATTTATAGAACACTACGATACCTCAAAAAGAGGACAAAGAATCCAATTTAAAAATGAGCAGAGGACATGTATAGACACTTGACCAAAGAAGACATTTAGTGGTCAACAAACATAAGAAGAAATGCTCACCCACTAGCCACTAAAGAGATGCAAGTCAAAACAATAATGAGGTATCATCTTATCCTAGTATTAATGGCAAAGTTCAAAAACACAGAAAACAAATGTTGGAGAGGGTGTGGAGAGTACAGAACTTTCCCACACTGCTGGTGGGACTATAAAATGGTGCAACTGCTGTGGAAAAAAATAGTATAGCACTTTCTCAGAAGCTTGGAAATAGAAATACCGCATGACCCAATAATCTCTCTACTTGATATCTATCTTCAAGAAATAAGAGCCACAACACGAATAAGTATATGAATGCCCATGTTCACTGTAGCACTATTCACAATAGCAAAAAAAATGGAGACAGTCTAGATGCCCATCAGCAGAGGAGTGATTGAACAAACTTTGGTACATATAAACAATGGAATATTAAGCATCACTGAATAATAATGATAAAGTTGTAAAATATCACATAACATAGAAGAATCTGGAGGACACTATGCTGTTAGTCAGTTGCAAAGGGACAGATATTGTATGAGACCACTAATATAAAAAGTCAAGAAAAGGCTTTCAATCTATAATAAACATTTCAAGATGTTTAGCAAGGGTGGGAGGGAATGGAGAATTATTCACTAGGTAGAGTGTAGATACATGTTAACTTGGATGATGGAAAAAGAAGTAAAGATGAAAGGGAAGAAAGAAAGAAAAACAATTGTTTTCTTTTTCTTTCATGTACTGGAAAGTAAACAGTCTTACTTCTTTTTTCATTAGGACAAACCATTGGAAAGTTTTCCACAAACAAAAAAAGGGAAAGGATAGAAGTGGGGGGAAGGAAAAGAAGAAAGGAGTGAGGAAAAAAATATTTGGAAATGGATAGCAGTTATAGTTGTGCAACATGGGGAGTATGGCTGGACTGTACATGCAAAAATGGCAAATGTTTACTATATATATATATGAGAGAGAGAGAGAGAGAGAGAGAGAAAGCTACAATTTAAAAGAAAAAAGGAAGACATTAAAAAAAAAAAAGTTTGTGGAAAATTCCATTCTTTTTTCATTACATTTTCCCACAAACTTTTTGAAGTCCTTCATATGTACTGACTTAGTATAAGAAAAAAAACTAAAAATTCTTATTAATAAGTCATATGCTGATTAACATTAATATGTTAATATACTAGATATACTGGGTTAAACAAAATATATTATTAAAATTTATTTGCCCATTTTTACTTTTAAAATGTGGTTATTAGAATATTTAAAATCATATATATACATTACTCACATTTATGGTTCATATTACATTTATACTGGACAGTACTACTCTTAAGTTATCTCCTATAGCTCCTTTTTAATGGTATAAACAACCAAAATTGGTATCAAAAGGCAGCCTGGCTTTTATTTCATGTGAAATAGGAAGACTAGGAGAAATGTCTTTGCTTTGTTCAATAATTACTTTCATTCCAGAGATAAAAATACATTCTCAAAATATAATGCTTAAGAGCATTATAAAGTATTACAATACCTCATTTAAGATCTAATTAATATACTTTTCTTAAACGTATTCAAATTTCAGTTATGCTTATTATTAGATGATCATATCTCTAATGTATTATGAAGATTGTTTTAATTATATACATTTATATATATATATATCATACCATTAAACATACTGTTGGCAATAGCTCCACAAGGAGCAATTGGCTTGTCTTCATTTCTTCGATAAGGCTCACATTCCTTACTGGGATTCTGAGTTTTAAAAGGAAAAGAAGAGAAAGATTACTGTTTCTCACTTGTAATGCATACAAACTATAAATAATACTATACTCAAAATGTATTCCTTAATGCTGCTTCATTAACTTTTCATACACACTTTATCATATATATTTTTATCTTATTATAAATGCAAGGAGCCATGGCGGCTTAGTGGGTTACATGCTGGGCTGCTAACCGCAAGGTCAGCAGTTTGAATTCACCAGTTGTTCCGTGGAAGAAAGATGAGGCTTTCTGCTCCCATAAATATTTGCAGGCTCCCTCAGAAACCTGATACAAGGTCACTATGAGTTGGAACTAACTAGATGGTACACAGTCAGCCACGTTAAATATATCTATCAAACTGACCTCATTTAAATTTTAGTGTCAATATAGAAAGAGTCCCCACAGAGAGTTTTCTGTCCAAGAAAAGTTAAAAAGCAGTTTACTGTCAATTCAGTTACGGCATAATAGAGTTTAAACTAGAAATAAAGAGACCAGTGATTCTAGTTCCAAATATGTACCATATGGCCTTCAGCAGCAGGTTCCTTGATTTACCACTTACAAAATGATCATATTCAACTACAACAGCTTACATTCTGTTAATTGTGGGTTAAATCCGTATCTAAAACGGAAATAAAAGCCATGATAAAGAAGTATACCTATAGAAATACACTCCTTTATCACGGTTCTTGTTTCATAGATGTCGTTTGTGTTAGGTGCCACTGAGTTGAATCCAACACACAGCAACCTTTCATATGGTTTCCACAGCTGTAAATCTTTATAGGAGCAAAGATATGTTTGAACCCAGGAGCGGTGATGTGTTTGAACTGCCAACCTTGTATGTAGTTAGCAATCCAGTGCTTATCCTACGTCACCACCAGCACTTTGTTTCGTATATAGTTGGCTGCATATGAGTGTTTCCTGTATTACCTGATGAGCACAGATCTATTCTGACAGACATGGTGTTGCCATGAGTCAGAATTGACTTGAAGGCAGCTTTATATTTAATGTGTTAAACACTAGATTCCAGGTGTGGCACAGTAAGAGAAGCATTTGACTGCTAACCACAAGGTCGGCAGAACTGACTTGATGGCACATATAACTAACAATTACTGGCTAAATTAAATCAGTTGCCTTTGAGTAGATTCCAACTCACAGTAACCTCATATACCTTAGAGTGGAACTGTACTCCATTTTCAATGTCTCAGTTTTTGCAAGTAAATTTCTAGGCTTTCTTCCAAGGTACTTCTAGGTGGACTAGAATTTCCAACCTTACTAAACAGCTGAGTGTGTAAGATCAAGAACTCTAAGCAATGACTACTGTTGTTGTTAAGTGCCGTCAAGTCAGTCCCAATTCATAACGAGCCAGTCTAGGGTTTCCAAGGAGTGGCTGGTGGGTTTGAACTGCTGACCTTGTGATTAAACTGACTTTGTAGTCCAGTGAATTATCCTGCACTAGTTTCCTACAGCTAGAGGACATTTTGTTTCTGCTTGTTTCTAATAGACTCATGGAGATTTTCATTTTTATTACTTTATCTCATATTCTAGTGTTGTGCTGTAAAATAAGCACTGAACCGCAAAGTTGGTTTGAACCGCAAGGACTCCCTAATACAAGAAAGGAAGTTATACTGCCTGCCCTCATCATCTTAAAGTGTAGCTGTGAAGACAGATGAATAGAAATTTTTAAACTATAATAAATGTTATGAAGATGCTATGTGAACATGGGGGGTGGGAGTGGCCTCTATGGTAAGGAAAAGTATACCTGTAGAGAGCAGGTCATATAAGACCTAAAGGACAGTAGGAACCAATCATGTGAAGAGCAGGCTGAAATGGTTTACCCAAAAGGGACAGCATATGCCACTGAAGAACAACTTGATAAAAGAGGAATGTACTAGAGCACGGCGAGAATGAAAACGAACATGGTGAGATTGGAGTTCATCTCAACTGGAGATTTTATTCTAAATACTAATAAACCACTGAAAAATTTTATGTATGGAAGTGGTATTTATATACCTTTTTAATGATTACTAAAGCTGTTATGTACGAATGGCCTAGCAGGAAGGGGCAAGAGTAGGTGATGTGGGGAGAAAAGTTTGCATAGCTGCAAAGAAAGCTGGGAAATGTATTCTTTATTCTGGAAAATATAATTTAATGATGTAAGAGAACAGAAGGTGGGGACAGTGACTGACAAGGTACAGATTAAGTGAAAATAAATACAAGGTTCCTCTGTAGTCTTAAATAGAAGACGTTATTTTGCTTCAAAGGACACCAAAAATAAAGCAAGCCTTGAGAAAACTTGCAGGGAAAAATAAAAAGTGCATTCAAAGCAAATGAAATGCTAACTCTCAAAGTGGGCAGATTACTTTTATCATAGCACATGGTTGCTGTTGTTGTTAAGTGCTGTTGAGTCAGTTCCAACTCATAAAGAACTCATTTCCGAGGAACAGCTGGTATATTTGAGCTAGTGACCTTGGGGTTCAAACCCACAGTGCAGTAGTAGAGTGCTTATCCTACAGCATCACACCAGAAGCAGCAAACACAGCCCTTAGGGCAGTCAGGCCAAAAGAGCATTAGAGATAAGAATATAAAACAATGAATTTCAAGACAAACATATGCTAAATTTGTTTTCAAAGTAAACTGGATGTCAATCTATCCTCTGAGAATTTTTGAAAGTCACTTTCTCATAAAACTGCACTTTTTCTAGTTCAGGGGCCAGCATATGTCAGCCTGCAGGTCACCATTTTTAGTAATTAAAGTTTTATTGCTGTACGATAAGCGCTAGATCACAAGGTCAGTTTGAATCATGGTTTGATGGCACTTAACAACAACACCTATTAGAGTCCAGGCGCTGTAGTATAAGCTCTGGACTGTAAGGTTGGTCTGAAATTGCAAGTGGATGCTTCAAACTTACCAGCTGCTCCTCGTAAACTGTATAAAGATAGGGTCACTATAAGTTAGAACTGACTCGATAGCATTTAACAATAACAAAGACAATACATTCATTGGGGAATTCTAGTGTGGCACTGTAGGGTAAGTACTGGACTGCTAACCACAGGTCAGCAGTTCAAAGCCACCAGCCACTCCTTGGAAATCCTATACAGGGCTACTACGAGTCGGAACTAACTTGCCAACGCTTAACAATGCCACCATACTCACTGGGAGCATAGTGGCTCTGCAGGATAAGCACTCAACTATGAACCACAAGATTGGTGGTTCATCTGACCAACTGCTCTGAGGGAGAAAGACAAGGCCTTCTTGCTCCCGCAAAGATCTACAGCCTCAGATACCCTATATAGGGTCACTCAGAATTGGAACTGACTCGAAGGCACTTAACAACAACAAAACACCTACTGAAAATAGTCTGTGACTACTTTCGGAGTACTGCTGTGGTGCTATAGGATAAGGAATGCAATGCTATCCACAAGGTTGGCAGTTCAAACACAGCCTATCCTTTCTTTGAAAGGATACAGGATTGCTATGAGTTGGAGCTGACTTGACAGCACTTAACAACAATGAAAAGTAGTCCCGGTGTGGTATGTGGCACTGTAGAATAAAAGTATTGAAGTGCTAACCTCAATTAGGTTCAAACCCCACCCCACCCTTCCCACCCCCACAACATTCCCCACCTTACCCCCACCTCCACTGCTGCACCTCAAACCCTATATACAGAGTTGCAGTAAGTTGGAACTGACTCAATGGTACTTAATAAAAACATGATTGCTTTGAAGTCCCTGGATTTGCAAATGGTTTGCATTTGACTATTAACCTAAATTCACAGCCATGCAGCAATACAAGGAAGAAAGGCCTAAAAAACTGCTTTCATGAAGATTACAGTCAAGAAAGCCCTATAGAGCATAAGCACATGAACACCCACACCTGCAGATAATACCCACTTGACCTGGCTTCAGTGGCTGGATGATCAGAGCTTAGCTAGAAGAAAGAGGGAAAAAAGAGTAATCTGGTACAATTTGATGAACTTGACCTACACCTATGGATGCAGTGGCTCAAAAGAGGAACAAATCTTTACAGCGAGGATCATTCCCACCCCTTCAATAAACAGGATAGACAGGGACTGATGAAAGGAGATGCGGATAGCACTCATGTGGTAAAATAGTGAATAATTACTATCAGGACTGACTGTGAGGGTTGGAAATGTGAAGGTGTACATTTTGTAGCAAGAGGAGGAGAGTGATTGACTTTGAAGTCCAGGAGCGGAGGTCCATGGGACCCTACCCATAGAAATAGTGATGCCAGAGATGGAGGCAGAGACGATGACATGGAGAGATGGAGCTGCTGGGGACTTTGGACCCGGAGAGGGAGAGGGGCTGTGTGCTGACGACCGGGGAAAGACTTTCAGGGTATACCCTTTGGTTGGTGGAGGATGCATGGAGGGGACTGTAACCATGGAAATATAACAATATACAATAGGATGAATGTAAAGCTAATGTTCTCCCATGTCAACTATCACATAATTTACAATAAAACATTAATAATAATAAAAAAAGAAAGCCCTATAGAGCAGTTCTGCTCTGTAATACACAGAGTCACAAGGAGCTGTAATGGACTCCAGGGTAACGAATTTGGCTTTTTTCGTTTTTATGGCTGCTGCTACGCTTTAATGGTACAGTTGAGGAGTTCTGACAGAATCTATATGACCCCCCAAAATAAAGATATTGATCCTCTGGCCCTTTCTAGAAAAAGTCCACCAATTCTTAGTCTAATCTAAAAGTTTTGCTTGAAGTTTGTAAATTAAGAATCAGCTTCTTGTGCCTTGAATTGAGTATGTACCTAAATGAAATAATTGTAATTCAATCACCACTTCTGGTTCATTGAATACATCTGGTAAATTAAAAAACTCTAGAAACGTAGTACATCTCAAAGCATACCACCTTCTATTCATTGCTGTTGTTGTTATGTGCCATGAAGTCTGTTCCCACTCATAGCGACCCTATACAGGGTTTCCAAAGCTGTAAATCTTTATGGGAGCAGAAAGCCTCATCTTTCACCCGCAGAACAGCTGGTAGTTTCAAACTGCTAACTGTGAGATTAGCATCTCAATTCGTAACCACTCCATACTAGAGTTCTATTAATTGTTCTTGTTAAGTGCCGCTGAGTTGATTCCAACCCATAGCAACCACATACAGGGTTTTCCGAGGAGCAGCTGGTAAGCTTGAACCGCCGACCTTGCAGTTCAAAAGGCTTTGCAGTCTGGCGCATTAACCCACAGTGCCACACCAGGGTTCTATTAATTAGAGTAGAGTAAATCCCACATGGTTTGCAAAATATGTCAGACCTTACCAAAACACCTTGAGGATGACAAACAATCGTTAAATAGACTTGCATTTCTTAAGATCCTCACACATCTGCCATAAGCAATAAAACCAGAGGACAACCTAGTGCAGCTATATGTTTACTAGGCACACTATGGCAATTTTAAGAGATAATAGAAGTCTAAATTGCTCAGGGCTTCTGAACTTTTGCTGCACTGCCAGCAATGATAGAAAATATAGAGGCACAAGGACTATTATGGAAAGTAAATCATCAGTCAAGAAACTACAGTCCCCTGGTCCATAGGTTCCAAACCAGGATAGGCATTAAAAGAGGAACTTGTTAAAAACAGGTGTTCTAGAGCATTATCCCTGCAGACACTGATATGTTACTCTTACCAAAAGTCTGGAATTAGTATTTTCAATAAGTTCCTCATGCAATTATTAAGCAAATCACTCTTTAAATTCTATTGCTCAGGCATCCCACAAGTTAAAAGATGAAAAGTGTCTATTTTTACTTAAAAAAAAAAAAATCCCAGAAATTGAAAAACTACTTGGGATACATAACCCTACGTAATGTAGCAATAATGAACAAACCCAAATAAACGTATATACCAAGAATGTTATATCATCAAAATTCTGTTTCAAAATGTAGTTGTTGTTAAGTGCTTTCGAGTTGGTTCTGGCTCATAACGACCCTGTATAGGGTTTCCCAAGAGCAGCTGGTATGTATGAACTGCCAACTTTGCAGTTCAAACACACCTTGTTGTCCAGTGCTTATCCTACAGCATCACACCAGGACTACAAAATACAGTAAATAGAAATAAAATTCCACATAACTCTATTAAAAACAAGCAGAAAGAAAATGTCCTCTAGCTGTAGGAAACCATTGTTGTTGTTGTTGTTGTGTGCCGTGGAGTCAGTTCTGACTCACAGCGACCCTGTAAAGGTTTCCGAGGCTGTAAATCTTTACAGGAGCAGAAAGCCTCATCTTGCTCCCGCAGAACAGCTGGTAGTTTCGAACTGCTAACCTTAAGGTTTGCAGCCCGATTCGTAACCACTATGCTACCAGAGCTCCTTATAGGAAACCATTAAGCTATGCAAATTTCAGGAACTTTTTTAAACTAAAAGTCCTTACCATGACAATTGTAAATGACAAGTAGTTCTTTATTTTAATCTTAATATTATTAAACACTTTAACATTTCTAATTTAACAGTTACCACACATGCTTGTTACATATATAGCACATTTTTACAATTCATCATTTTACTTACAAGTAAAGCACTAAGATCTCCATTTAGTTGACTATCATCTCGAGATTTCACATAACGACGATGGTTTTGATAGAAATTAGACAGTCCATAGTACATAAAAACATTGCCCTAAAGAGACAGAGGGAAAATGTTTTCCTATAAAAACAATTAACTATAATTGGTTTCAAGTATACATTAATAAGTAATTTACACTTTATGAGTCTGGAATTTGTGATCATTTAAAAACAGATACTAGGATAAAATCTACTAAAACTCAGCAATTTGAAATGGTATAAACTATAAAGAAGGCATGTTATAAATATCCAGGAGTAAACTTTGAAAATATCCTTAAAGATTCAAAGACGTACTATTTATATTTTACAAAATAAAACAACCCTCAAGGAACCTACAGACCCACTCTGAGATACTTTTAATTTAAAATTTTTTGCAGATTGGCCTTGCATCTAATTAGCACCAACCTTTAAGAAAAATAATGGTCAAATTTTCATTTATCATCCAAATAAATTCAGAACTTTAACAGCGGTATTTTGTAAATTACTCAACAGGAAACTATATAATAATTGTCGTTAAGTGCCATCGAGTCAGTTCTGACCCATAGTGACCCTGTATGAGGTTTTCAAGGCACAGCTAGTGAGTTTGAATCACAGACCTTGCGGTTTAAATGGACCTTACAGCCCAGCGCATTAGCCAACAGCACCACACCAGGACCTCACAGTAATGTTGTTGTCGTTGTTAGGTGCAATCGAGTTGGTACCAACTCCTAGCAACCCAGTGCACAACAGAACGAAACACTGCCTGGTCCTGGGCTAACCTCACAATTGTTGCCACGCTTGAGCCTAATGATGCTGCTGCCACTTTGCCCATCCATTTCATAGTAATTGTTGCTGTTGTTGTTAAGTGCCATTGAGTTGGATTCAACCCATAGCAACCCTATATAGGGTTTCCAAGGAGTAACTGGTGAGCTTGAACTGCCAATCTTGCAGTTCAAACAGCATTGCAGTCTGGCGCATTAATCCACAGCACCACACCAGGACTTCATAGTAACAGTAGTTAGTAAATTTGTGAAGTATCTAATGAACCATTTTATAATAATCAAGAAATATACTTCAGTATATTTATAATTGAACCAATTTAGCAGAAAGGATTATGTACATACACCATAATTATTTAGAAGATGCTTAGAAGCCATCTTGAATGACTAAAAGTTTTGAAGTTAAAAAACACATTTCTCCTTTCTGGTTGCTACCTCCATTGTTTACTTTCTTATCCTCAATTAAAAGTTGCCTGGAAAGGCTTTAGTCCAATTCAAAGTTTGGGTTTGTAATACAAAGCCCACAGGCGAAAGACTCAGAGGATGATCACCTTTGCAGATGAAAAATTATGAAACAAGCATTTTTAAAGGGAGAGGAAACTAATGGAGCTTCTATACCATCACAAGTTTCTTACATTTTAAAAATTCTGTCTACTCTGACAAAAGCAGCACTAATGTGTCTTTACAGTTGCCCATCATGTTACAAAAAAAAAAAGAACCTTTTCCACTGAAGATGCCTTTTATTTATAAATCATTACTGCTGAAACAAAGTAAACTAAATTCTTGTCTTCTCTCAAAACGGTTTTCATTCAAAGGCAGCTTTCTCCTTTTATCTAGGTACAAGAACAATACAACCACTAGATGGCAACCAGGACTATAAAAATCCACCTTTGTTGTTACTATGTAGTCACGCTAGTTCCAACTTACAGTGGATCTGTTGTATAGGGTTTCCTAGGAGGGCTGCTGGGTTTGAATTACCAACCTTGAGGTTAGCAGTTCAGTGATTATCCTATAGAACCCTAAACCTAAATTATAGAATCTAAATGTCTGCCACAAGAACAAACAAATCTGTCTTGGCAGAAATGCAGCGAGAATATTCTTTAGAAGCCAGGAAGGCGAAACTTCGTTTCTTGTACTTTGGACATATGATCAGGAGGGCCCAGTTCCTGGAGGACATCACACTTGAAAAAGTGGAGGGCCAGTAAAAAAAAGGAGGATGTCAAACAAAATTAACTGATTAAGTGGCAGCAACAATGGGCTCAAACTAACAACTGTGAGGAAGGCACAGAACTGGGCAGTGTTTGGTTCTGTGTGCATATGGTACTGAGTCAGAATCAACTCACCAGCACTTAACAACAACAACAACAAAATTTTCAAGTAGTAATGTGATTTTGCTCCCTCAGGTATAAAACAAATACTTTGTTTTAACTCAATTTTTAGGTAAAAGAGAAAACAAACTGGTTTTCCTATACCTATAAAGCATTCTGAATCTTAAGGTCCTTTAGTATCTGCTCAGTCAGTTACCAGGAAGAATGGCTGGTTAGTTTAAATGCAAAAGATATACACATACAGAGACAGAGAAAGAGAAGGGAGTTCAAACTGCTTTATCAAGATATAAAATGCATAGTTTTATTAAGTGTTTATAGTTTCTGGTAATCTTTCATATCTGATAGAAAAAAAATACAAATTAATAAGGACTAATTTTTTTTAAAGAAAAATTCTAGTATCAAAAGCATGCAAAAATACTGTGTGCAATAACTTTTAAAATACAAATATATATGAATTTGACACAAAGTTAAACTGCTTATACGATTTAAAAAATTCTAGTGAAGGGATAAAGAATGGTTTTTATAATTGGTTTATAAAAATTGACTAAAGTAAACCATTCAAACAAACATTTCTAATGAAACACAATATTTTTAAAGAAACACAGACCTCAAATGACTGCTCCAGCGTGAAGTTAATGGTACAAAAACAAGGTGTCACATTTGTAGACAAACATTTATTACAGGGACTGGAAGGCTCTGTTCCGGTATAATCAATCTGCAAGAGAAAAATATAACTAAGCACTTGTCTGGAGAAACTGGATACCAAGAACACTGAAATAATTTGCTGTTAAAATGAATAATGAGTCCAATGGAGAAACCAACAGCCCAAAGAACTCTTTGTAAGGTCATCAGTTTATACTGATGGTGGTGGTCATGTGCCATGGAGTTGGAACCGACTCATAGCGACCCCGTACTGGGTTTCCGAGGCTGTAAATCTTTACGGGAGCAGAAAGCCTCATCTTTCTCCCACGGAACAGCTGACAGTTTCGAACTGCTGACCTTAAGGTTCACAGCCCAATTCGTAACCACTATGCTACCAGAGCCCCTTAGTTTATACTGATAGTAAACTGGTAAAACAGTACAGACAAGTGGTCTAATTTCTAATCTCTAAGTAAATCTAGCTTTTCTTTTACCAAAATACATACAATTATGCCTGAAAAATAAAAATAAAACTTATTTGTAAAACATACGAATATTTAAAAGCTCTAACAGTCTATCAGAATACAGAAATCAATACCATCAGTATTGCTTTAAATTTCCTAATTTTAAATACTTTTCACATTCACTTTTAGCTTTCCATGGTACACTTTCTAATTTTAAAATATCAGCTTTTTAATGGCTATCATTTTTTAAATACTTGGCCTGATAGGAAAATTTAAAGCCCGCCCCCAACCCCATGATAAAAAATGTTATGATTAACAATACTACTAAGTTATCTTTAAATAAATAAATAATAAAGTAAAAATAAAGCTAATCTTTAATTCTGAAACTGAACCTATAAACTCATACATATTTTTAATATATATAAGTGTAAATAAAAGGAAGATAAAACATGTATCTGGAAAATAGTAACAGTTATAATACCTGCTTTCAAAAAGACCCCAGTTTCTTAAGAAAACTTGGTTTTGTAAATTCCTAAAATAAACCAAGGAATCCCAGTGTGGCGCTATAGGATAAGTACTGTACTACAATGTTAGCCTGAACTACAAAGTCAGCGGTTCCAACCCACCAGCCCGCTCCCCAGAAACCCTACACAGGGTTGCTATGAGTCAGAGCCGACTCGACAATACTTAACAACATTGAAATAATCAACTTTTGTAGAAAAATTCTCAAGCAAATCTTGTTCACTAGTAAAATGTTTTATAAAGAAAATTTTCTTTCACTGTAAATATCGAAGAGAAGCTAAATATATAACTAAACAAATAAATAGGCATGTTTTCACTAAACATGTTGGGCCACTGAGGACAAAATATTCTATTTAGGAGCCAAGTTTTATGATGCTGAACAGAAAAAAAGACCACTTTCAGAATAAATATATATATATATGTTGTTAGTGTTCCTTGGAGGCCAGGATGGCTAAACTTCGTCTCTCATACTTTGGACATATTGTCAGGAGGGAACAGTAGCTGCAGAAGGATGTTATGCTGGGTAACGTGGAGAGTCAGAGAAAAAGAGGAAGACACCCAACGAGATAGATCCGCCAGGTGGCAACATTGATGGCGTCAAGTGTGGCAGCGGTAGTGAGGTTGGCCCAGGATTGGACATTGTTTTGTTCTCCTGTACATGGGGTCGCTATCAGTCGGTTCCGACTCGATGGCACCTGACAACAACAACATATGTTTTATGTGTCGTGGAGTCAGTTCCAGCTCATAGTGACCCTGTACAGGTTTCCGAGGCTGTAAATCTTTAGGGGAGCAGAAAGCCTCATCTTTCTCCCTCGAAACAGCTGGTAGCTTCAAACTGCTGACCGTGAGATTAACAGCCCGATTCATAATCACTACGCTACCAGAGCTCTATATGTATGTATGTATGTATGTACATTTTTTTCTCCCTCTTTCTTAAGGCTAGTCTGAGGATTAAAAAAAAAAGAAGAAAAAGTAGTAGCTGGATTTATTTTAACGCTATACACTTGTGAACAGACATCTCCCAAGTTAATCGCTTTCAAATTAGTTTCATGGATAAAGTCTGACAGTGATACTATCAGTTGTGATTAAACAAGGATAGGATATATACTCTTCATTTCATTGAACACAAATAATCTGGATTATGTGGCAAAATCCTGACCCTGCCTATGAAATAATCCACAACACACTCTGGTTTCGAAAAGTTTGTGCAAGATGGATGGGTATCAAAACAACTCACAGAAGAGCATAAACAGAAGCATTTGGACTTCTGTAAACAAAATTTGGCCCAAAACTCATCGAAAGTTAAGTTTCTTAAAAGAAATTGTTACTGGTGACAAGACACAGATTCATCCCTATGAGCCTGAGAGTAAATGGCAGAGTATGAAATGGAAACATTCTCAATTGTCAACCAAGTAAAAGTTCAAAATTCAATCATCAGTTGGAAAATTGATGTTTACAGTTTTCTGGGATTCTCATGGGCCAGAATAGGAACATTATCAGGAAAAAGGCTCACCAATCAACAGTGATCATTACAGTGAGAGCTGAAGAGCTGATGCCTAAACTTTGGATTAAATGCAGAAGACAGCTATTGTCATCTTGCATGATAATGCACATCTCAAGACCTCTGTCCACACTGTTGACACTCCACAAAAACTTCTTTTTGAGGTATTAAAGTATCCTCCCTATAGTCCTGATCTTGCTCCATTGGGCTTTCACCTGTTTGGTCCCCTGAAAACAGCCTTTCGAGAAAGAATATTCACCTCTGATGAAGAAGTAAAGACAGCAGCGCATTTGTGGCTCACAGCTAAGCCTAAAACATTTTTTAATAAGCAGTACAAAAACTTGTTGATAGATGGACAAAGTGTCTTGAAAAGCAAGGAAAGTATATAAAAAAAATGATGTATTTGTCTTTCTAAAAGTTGATTAAATAAATTCTACAGCCAGCGTGGGGATAATAACAATAATAATCTGGTAGAATTTAAAATCTAGTAAATTAAAGGTATGTACATTAAAATTGAACATTTAAATTAGAACCAAGAAAAATTGTTGAATATTAAATCAGACGTGAACAAAATAAAAAGACAGCTAAAACATTTTCATCACAATCTATTGATAGTAATTTAAACAATGTATTTTGAAAATATCTTTAGATTCAGTGAAAATCTGAAGAGTGTTAAAAAAAAATCATTGTTTTTAACATACTAAGAGCCAATTATGTGCAACGCACAGCATAAAGTGTTTGTTGTTGTTGTTAGGTGCCATCGAGTTGGTACCGACTCATAGCGACCCTATGCACAGCAGAACGAGACACACTGCCTGATCCTGGGCCAACCTCACTACTGTTGCCACACTTGAGTCCATCGATGCTGCGACTTGGCCAATCCATCTCCTTGGGGGTCTTCCTCTTTTTCTCTGACCCTCCACCTTACTAAACATGATATCCTTCTCCAGCGACTGCTCCCTCCTGACAATATGTCCGCAGTATGAGAGACGAAGTTTGGTGTTAGGTGGATACAAAAACAAATCATTCTTTATACTGTGTTAAGGGGAAAAAAGGTATTTCATCTTCGAATATATAAATATTATAGGACTCCATTAAGTCATCAATAGGAGTAAATACAAAGACAAACCTAGATCTCCCATTAGAGGGAAATCATAGACACCAAGACGAGTTTCCAAAGTTTTACCTCCAGGTGATGACCTTTTACAGGACACAAGGAATAAAGGAAAGCAGGGAGGGGTGACAATTACGGGGTGTGTCCAGGAAAGTTCGTTTGAGGGCCAGCTGGAGGAAGTGGCCCAAAATTCACCTTGAAATATACTCTGCTTCTAACTCTGGTAGTTCAGCTGTCAGAGGAGCATGAGGTACTCAAGAAAAATTGGCATCTGAGCATTTACACGTGGGCATAATATAGATTTAAGCTCTGCTTGCTGGAATCGTTCACAAACAAAAAACCTCCCGATTTCATGCTCTACAACACTAGTCGATATACAGTTTGTCAAACTCCTTTCTATAATTTACAAACACACACACACACACACACACACACGCACACACATGGCACTGTAGGTTCAGCAATGGACTATGACCGGCAAGGCAGACAGTTCAAACCCACAGCTCCTTGGAAACCCTATACAGGGTTCACTATTGAGTCAGAACTGACTGAAGGTACTTAACAGTGTATGTTGTTGTTGTTGTTGTTAAGTGCCGTCGAGTCAATTCCGACCCATAGCAACCCTATATAGGGTTTCCAAGTAGCAGCTGGTGAGCTTGAACCACCGACCTTGCAGTTCAAACAGCTTTGCAGTCTGATGCATTAATCCACAGCATCACACCAGGACTCCTAACAGTATATACATATATCTCTATGTATGTTTGCATCTGATCTTTAACAAAATCCTTAGTTATCTCCATTTTACATTAAAAACAACAACAACAGCAAAAATGATAAACAACACATTCTTTAACTTGTCCAAGCCAAAGAAGTAGTGGTAGCCTGCAGGTATTATGCTAGAACCAAGGCTTTTATCCCAAGTTCAACATTCCATTTATTAAACTATCTTTCTCTAAAAAGAATTAGTCTATTTGGCCCTCTATCAAAGATAGCAAATTCAAATGCCAAGAAAGGATGGTACAGAGAAACAATACATATTAGAGGAACCAGTACTTTCTTTCTGAGAAAGAAAGAATTCAGACTGAACTTTAATGCAAAGATAGAGAATGAGGAGATATATGAAGAAACAAACAAGGATGCAGAGAAGCAGAACCTACATTTATAGACAACAGCATGACAAACACTTTGGATCTGTACAATTTTCATATTGTAGGGAACTCATTGTTAAGTCCTGGTGTGGTGCTGTAGGACAAGCACTGGACCATAAGGCCTGTTTGAACAGCGTGGACAGTAGTTCAAACTCACTAGTTGCTCCTTGAAACCCTATACAGGGTCGCTGTGAGTCAGAACTGACCTAACACCACCACAACAAGTTGTTAAGTGCCATCTAGTTGGTTCAGACTCACAGTGACCCTGATTATGATTTCCGAGGCTGAAAATCTTTGTAGGAACAAAAAGCCTCCCTTATCTTTGTC